CATTTACCTGCAGTGTGCGTATGTGTGTGTGTATGTGTGTGTGTATACATTTCCACATAATTTTAACTAATACAATTTTTACATTTAAAGTAGTTTTGTCACTAGACTATATGTGTTTCACTTTTCATAGTATTTCCTACTTTTCAATTGTTTTGCATTGAAACTTGCTCTTAATAGCATTTTGATATGGTTAAATTAAAGCACACCGCTTTCATGCTATGCCATCTTTCACCTTCCTAGATTCTTCCTCTTCTGCATGTGTTTGGATTGTTAGCTAATCATCTTTACTTTTTAGACGTGTATTTAATCTCATTTCCTACTGACTTCAGTGTAATTCTCTAAACAATTATAGTTTATCCTCATAAAATAGTGTACCTCTTAACATGTAGAGTGAGATTTTTACAGTGTTATACTTCTTAAAATATCCTAATCTTCAGACTAATGTTTTCTTAAATAAATTTTACATATATATCTCCTATGACATATAGTGCATTTATACTTTTATTGAATTAAATAATCCACTATTTTAGAATAACTTGAAACTAGAAAATCTTCTCCAGTAACCAAACTCTGAAGATCTTCAATTCTTTGTACTCTGCCTTGCATTAATTCTTTCCGCCTGAAGTACTTGCAACACTGCATGTAGTTCGAGCATGTTGGCTCTGGATGCCCTTCCTCACCGGAAGTCTTGAAGTCTTGATGCCTGTTGTTTGTGAAGGGTATTCTCTGTATGTAGTACTTCTAGTTCTAGTACATGTTGTTCTTGATGTCTTCTTGCTTTAGTACTTTGTAGTACCGATTTTACCTTTGTATGAATTCAACTTTATTTAATGTTCCTTTTTTCCAATGGTTGTTCTAAAGATTTCTCCCCTTTTCCCATTTCCAGCACTTTATATAGGATAATACCTACTTGTACAAATGTTTATTCCTGTAAAACTCTGACTGGGGATTTGAGATTTGATTCTCATCATAAAAAAAAAAAAATCTTGAGTATCACTTCAATTGTTTCTGCTGTTTTATTTTATAGCCTGTCTTTGGGGATTCTAGTTGATATGAGTTATACCATTTGGCTCCACACGTAGCCCTCACCTTAACCTACCTGTCTGCATTGCTATTGCGGTAACACAACACCACAGACTGGTCATTTGTAACCAGCACAAATTAGTCTCTCCTAGTCATGGGGCTGGAAGTCCGAGACGAAGACCCAGCTGCTGGGTTTCTGGTGCGGCTGCTGCTCGCTCCGGAGGTGACCACAGCTCTGTCCTCCCATGGTGGGAAGTAGAAAGGGTCTTTTGTGAAGGCATCTTCTCCAGGGAGGAGAAAGGAAGGTTCACGCAGTCACCGCTGACACACCCCTCCCAGCACAGCCACGCGGCTGCCCTGGAATCTCACACGGTCCCTTCTCTTTCGTTCCTCTCTTGCTTCTCTTCAGGTAACCTCGAGATGCGCCTTCAGCAGTGCCGCGTCTACTGACGATGAGATGTCTACTCATGAGAGTCTCTTCTGTCTTTTCTCCCATTTCATTTGACTCTTGCAGTTTCCGGCTCTTCTCTGAAACTCACGTGTTTATGCAGTTTTAATAGTAATCTGGCTAGGACCTTTGAAACGTTTATTGCAGAGATATGAAACTAAATTATGGCTCAGAGTTGTGATCTGCTTTAGTTTTGTTCATTATTTTCGTCTTGTAAGAGGGCTTTTGTTCTTGCTTCGCCTTCATTATTCATCCAAGAGGAAACGGTTTCCGCTGTTCTTGCCGCTGCCGCACGCGCTCCCGAGCCTGCTGTTCCGTTATGGCTCTCCTGGGAGGGAGGAGAGCCTTCCCTCTAGCTTATTAGAACTGACAATGGATAACTGAGATGGTACAAACTTCATTTTTGACTGAAGTTCCCGGGGTTGGACCAGCTTTGTGTTACTGTAACAAAATGCTGGAGAAAATCAGCTTAAAAAGACGAGAGGATTACATCGGCTTGCAGCTTTGCAGTTTCTTATTGCCAGGTGGTTCTATGACTTCTCCACTGTGGTTAGCCAACTCATCCTGGCAGGAGAGCACACTGTTCTCCTCATGCCAGAGGTGAGCCCACTGCAAGAACACGGAACCTCACCCTAGGCCCCGCCTCTAAAACTCCCACCATCTCCCCATCTCCCAATAAGACTTTTGAGGGACACTTTTCCAAACAATAAAACCAGGGTGTCTCATGGTAGTTCATTCTTTGGAGTAAGATATTTGCTAAAAATTTTAATTGAATTTATCTTATCAACGTATGTGGCAACCCTGGCTTCTCTATAACTATGAGGAAAAATCTTACACTTACTGATTTATTCATTTAAAACCTGTCTCCTTGGGCATTAAGTTAGTTATATAACCTCCCTCCAGTCTCCTTTATTCAATAAAAGAAATCAAGACTCGTAGACTATGAAGCTTGTTTTGATCACTATGGTAGGAATGGCATTCCTCCATATTTTAGAAGTCAGCACAAACTTTTGACTAAATATTTAAAAGAAAATTAGAAAAGAAATTTATTTTACACATGTGGGTATGTTTGTCTGCATGGGTGTATATGTACTATGTGTGGGCTTAGTGCCCGTAGGGGTCAGGAGAAAGCAACAAATCCCCAGGAACTGTTGGATGGCGGTAAGCTGTTATATGGGTGCTGGCACCCAAGCCTGTGTCCTCTAAAAGAGCAGCCAGTGCTCTTCACAGCTGTCATCTGATTGCTGCCCCCCATTTTTTAAAACATTTTCACTTTTATTAATATCAGAATGCATGTTGAAACATTCTGATCTTAACCTTTTTTGGTATTTATTTTGATGACTAGATCTTGGCTTATGAAGTTCTGAACCTAGCCATCAAGTTAGTAAATGAGGCAACTGCATCCTTCAGAAGGTGCTGCTCATGGAAACGCCGCGTCCTCGGGCAGTGAGTTGGACTTAGTAGCCATTGCCCCCATCCACTGCCAGATTGTGCACACAGTGACTCACAGGCACATTTCTAAATATACCAGCAGCCTTGCAAAGGGTTTCCGGGCTGCGTCTGTCAATTACGGGCATGGGAAAGGTCAGAAGAGCACAGGCCGTCATCCTCATTCCAGTGCCCTCTCCGCTCTGCCTTGGGTGTGTTGAAATACTGCGATTGTTCACTTTGAAGCATTGTCCATTGCTGAGGACTTCTTACTGGAAATGAGTGAAATGTCTGCGGGAGGCCATCCCACTTAACGGCCCACTTCCGCTTTCAAAAGCCTTTTGTCTAATAAATGTGTCTCAAAAACTCTTCTGTGAGACTCACCAACCTCATTCCTCCCCAACCATCGATTACAGTCCTCAGTCTCCTCGGAAGAAAAGATTCACTGTGGAGTAGGATGCTGTTCGCTGAAGTCGCCTCAGCCTCTTCTGCTGTTAACAAAGGAGTGCAGTTCTCAGGCCACCCTAACCCTTCTGTCCAGTGTGACGGGCACTTCTGGAAGAGGAACGCCAGCAGCACTGAGCAATATAGAAAGTCTTCTGAGACTTCAATGTGGCCATAAAATTGGGTGGAATCTGACAGAAATCTCTAGAAATTAGCCTTGAACAAAAGAAAATTGTTCTGCACCCCCTTCCTTTGAACAGTGGTCCATTATTATTATTTATTTTTACTCAGCACAGTAACCCTGCCAATATCCGTCAGCCTATATACATAAAATCAGATAACAAGAATCTATGTTTCAAAGAGCATTTCAAATTAAATTAAACATTAAAAGACCTTCTGAAATCAGTATTCAACTTTACATCTAGTTTGATTATCCCATTGGTAAGCTGTAATTTCAAGCAATTCACACAGTCATATCCAGATCATCCATCGCAACAGTTAATTTCAGAAACCTGTCACTGTGTTCTGTCCAAGCATCAACATTTCCCTGAAGATTATGGCATAGACTTTCCCATATTATTTAGACATATAAAGAATTCCAAAAAGAAACCTTTTTTCTTTTCATCTGCTTTTAATGTGAATCATCTATCCCCCTCTCTGAATCATTCAGAGTATTTTTAAACAGTGCTAATTACCTTATTATCTATTATTTATCATCTACGTTCCATGTGTTTATGACAATGAACAGTGAGGTTTATAAACAACTAATTCTGTGATCATCTGCAGCTCCATGAAGGTCTGGAACCTCATTATATGCTACTTGACACAAGAGTAGACCATACTTATTTCTGAAGAAAAGCAATACTAGTTGAGACTAAACCACTTAGACATACTTTGTACTACAACCAAATTAATAATGTTAGAAAAAAATCACCTAGCAACATCTGACATTAAAAGATTCCACAACAAAAAGTAAACCACATGAAAGGTGAGAGAGAACACAGCCCAAACTTCATCCTGTAGGATTCACAAGGAGAGCTGTCTGTGCCCTGAAATAGGGAAGGAGAAAAGAAATTGAACACTGAGAAAGACCTGCAGAAACCAGAAATGTAATCTGATGTGTATTGAGCACCCACTGGATTTATTGTGGATTTAAGTTCAGCTAACTTGAACTGAACTGATTATCTTCATCTTAAGAGAAGCAGATAATGCTATAATTAAAGTCAGGGAGACTGAGCCAGAATGTCCATTTCCCTACACTTTCTTGTTACTGAAAAACATGTGGCTGGTATGCAAATTTGTAGTACATTTCCATGCAAGCGGCACTGATGGACCAAGCTGACCACACTGCTGTCACTTAATGGGGTGGATGGTTGTAAGGACAGCAAAGAGTGGATGGTAGCTGCTGGGTTTGCAGAATGCCCAACAATCTCAGTGTTCTACACACAGGTTTGCCTCCTATCTTGATTATTCTGAATAACCCATATAAAAAACCTAAAAGACAAAGAATTACATGTGTCTGTGTGTGTACATGTGCATGCATGTTTGTATACATGTGTATGCCAGTGCATGTGCCTACATGTGCACATCTGGGGGACAGAGGTTGACTTTAAAGTGTCTTTTTCAATTGCTCTCTCTCTCGTTGTTTGAGACAGGGCCTCTTCACCGAACCTGGGGCTCACAGATTGGCTAGCCCAGCCGGCCAGCAGGTCCTGGGGATCTTTCTGTCTTCGTATACGCTGGCTGGGATTGTAGGCGTCGGCCACCACGCCCGGCTGTTTCACCTGGGTGCTGGGATCCAAACTCAGGTCCTCATGTTTGTATAACTCTTCACCAACCAAGCTGTCTCAGGCTCCGCGACAAACCGTTTCTAAGGTAAAATGTTTGGTAGGGATTACTGATGGGTTAACTGGAGAGGATTTTTTTTATAGTATGTGGAGTAGATAACCCACTTTCTTAGGCTATGGGGACATATTTATCTGGTAAAACATAGGAGTTTTGAAAGTTTTACATTAAGTGACTTGAAAACTCAATGATTTTATTGTGTTTTTCAATAATTTTTTCTGTTCCTTTCCTCCTTTGTTCCCTTTCCTTTTCCTTCCTCATTTCCCCTTTCTGTCTGTGTCTCTGTCTCTGTGTGTCTCTCTCTTTCTCTGTGTGTGTGTCTCTCTCTCTGTTCCTGCTCTACAGATGGTTCAGTAAGATGATGCATCTTTCTTCACGGTAAGTACCTCAGAGCACCTGGGTAGAACATTTGGAAGGGAGGATACAAGTGGCGCGATGTATTTGGGACTTGGTGAACTTGCAGACATCTGGCTTTTGGTGTGTGCCCAACCATTTTGTGATAGGTGGATGGTGTTTTTAGCTTGGTTACTTTTTCAGAGTCTGAGTGCTTGTGTTTTGTGTGGCTTAAGCTTTTTGTTGTTGTGTTTGTTCCTGTAGCTATGGTCTGAGTCACCACCCAATTGATATCACTTGCTTTCATGGCCTTGCTCTGTTTTCCTCAAAGTGAATAAAACTCAGGTTCTCCTTCTCTGTCCCGACCACATGGAGCTGCCAAGTAAGTATCATGCAGCGTCCTATGGTTAGAAAAAATATCTCATTGTTGGTGCTAAAAAGAAAAATTAGAATGAGATTGACAGGAATATAGAAATTCTTAGTGCTTAATTTTGTCTCTCCTGGCACATGGTGGGGCCATCTTTTTGGCTCATCTGTACATAATTAAATGACTTATCACATGTCTGACTAACACCATTAAAAACATTCATTGCTTTTACTGATTCTTCTCAGCTTTAGTCTTTATTCCTTTGTGTTTGTGCATATCCTATTCTCAAAAACCAAAAGTAAAATCAAAATACAACAGTAAACTCCCACAACTGAGGACGTTTCCTTTGTAGAATGCCATGGGTCAGTGGGCTCAGAGACACAGTTCTTCTGTGTTACTCAGCTGCCCAAAAGCACCAATGGATGGCAAGCTTCCTGGTTCTTAGCTAGGATCTTGCCTTGAGGAAGGTGAATTCTTAAACCTATCCTAGCAACAGTGTTTAAAGATGTTCAAGGTTATCAAGTCCAAGATCCATCAGAGAGTGACACCAGCATTGCAGTATGTCTTGTGTAGGTCACACACACTCAACACATACAATGTCCATATGGGTAAAAAGCATTTTCACATTCACATTGATTAAAAATGAAAATAACTTTTCTTTTTCAAGAAACATCAATAGTTTGATATAATATGTGGAATGAACATATTTTTGAAGATTCTAAATTTAGATGGAAACCCTGAATACAATGGTTTATTCTAATGAATCAACTTTGAAGGATTATTTGCAGTGAAGCCAGCTCTACATGAGCATGGGAGCCAGGCTGGGTAGATCGGAAGACAGGCCAGCAGGACAGTCTTGTCCATTGTTTTATGTGTTCACCCCCCCCCCCATTCTATAATCTATACCATTAGCATGGAAGTGGCCCAGAAAAGGTGATCTGCCTGTGTGACCTAACATTCTTCTGCCAGTCAAGGTTAGCACTTTATATTGCTGGGCCTGTTTCTTCAGATGAGTTTATTGTTAATGAAGGACTTCTCTGGAAATAATGTGAATATGAACACACACACACACACACACACACACACACACACACACACACACACACATGCACGCACGCACACACGCACACATGTGCGCGAGGCATAGAAGACAGACACAGAATGCTATCTTTACATCTCACTTCTCACTGCTGTACTTTCTTTCCTCATGCTTCCCAAACCAGCACCCTACTGAGCAAATTGGCCAAGCTGGTTTTCTGGTTATTTGGGTTAAATTGATTAGGATCTACTTCCACTGGGAAACCTATATTTTCAAACAGTAATGAGACTCTATGCTGATGGCTTGATGTTAGGAAGAGGACCTGTCTCACAAGGCGAGCATTCTCTCTGTATGTGTACCCTCCATGATTCCTGTATCTCAGGACAGTGTTGGAAAGGTCAAACTTGAATAATTACACTGTAGTCCTTGATAACTGACTCTGCCTTGGAGCAGGCACACATGAGCTGTGATACTGAAGCCCTTAGTGATAGCATGCTGGGTCCTCGCTGTGATATTTACTATAAAAATGCAAAACAAACAAAGCTTACTGTCCAGAAATAATTTTATTAGGATTTTCATTGGCATTTTTAATTAATATATTTCTAGTTCTCTTCAATAAAAATGTAGAGTATGTGGTGGAGGGATAGGTAAGGGAAGCATCTATATTTTTCTTATTGCTTATAACTTCTGGTTTCATCTTCAAGCTCATTGTGGACAGTTTTCTGTGACAATATCTGGTAGAGTGATTCTCAACCATGGACAGTGTTCACAGCAGGTCAACATTTAGTCACACAAAATATTTTTGCTCCGAGCATTTGCTATGTGGAAGCAAGACTTCCTACCAAACATCCTTCAGTGGCCAGGGACGCTCCTTAACAGGGAGCCCTGCTGTAGACCTGCCGACTCTTTAGTAGCTTTGGGCTAAGTAGCTACCTTTTCCCCACTGGTCACTTGGGAGTTTAGTTGTCCCCTATTGTAAGCAACCTGTTGAATATTCTTGGTGGAATTTTTGTGCAAACTTGTACTTAGGTTGACCTGGACGGAAAAAAAATACAGTTTTTAGACATAAAAATTACTCCATGAAAGGAAATGCACTCTTGAAGGTTTTAATCAATGTTCTCCAGCTGTTTTTTTTAGACAGTGTTTTAATATTAGTATGAGGACAAAAGTCCTATTTTGATGATTACTAAAGGCCTCCTGCTTACAATACTCCTGTTTGTTTAAAATGATATTATAGCTTTAGCTAAGTTCACATGAGTTCCATAAGAGAGAAATATGGAGAACAGGAGCAGCACCTATGGAGGACATGAGCAGCACCTATGGAGGACATGAGCGGCACCTATGGAGGACATGAGCAGTACCTATGGAGGACATGAGCGGCACCTATGGAGGACATGAGCAGCACCTATGGAGGACATGAGCGGCACCTATGGAGGACATGAGCAGTACCCGAGGGCTCCTAGCTTCACTCCAACCTCTCAGAACATTTCAGAGACAAATTATTAGCTGAGGTTTGTGATTCCTGCTAATCCTGCTTCAAGGATGGAACCTTAAGGCTTGGCCATGTCCAACAAGCAAAAGGCCTCTTTTTGACCAGAGTTTACATGTTTTTACGAAGCCCAAATTTACAGAGTCAGGTGATAAGAGAATGACATTAGTTGAGAGCCGAGTGTAGAAGCCACGGCACAGCAAGTGCTCGATACACTTTAACTCTCGTTTCTTTAGACCTAACACAACCAAATTCTTGAAATTCTGGTGGCAAGTCCCTGGCCCACATCTTTCGTTTTGTCTAAAGAGCACAGCAACTCTGTGCCACAGTTTGATTTGTCTTAGAATAAAAGCAAAATGTTAGCTGAGGATGACGCTCTGTGGTGGAGCACTTGCCTTATCGGTGGGAAGCCCAGTGGTGTGCAGGTATAGGAAAAGGCATGTTCTCATGTGCGTGAGCGCTCGTGTGTGGGGTGCACATGTGTGCACATCATTGAGGAAACTCAAGGTTGACATCAGGAATCTTCAACTGCTCTTCCACCTTAAGTGAGACACAGTCTCTCAATTGCATTCATATGTCAATCTGGCTTGCCCCCTTTCTCCACAATTTCCTTTTTCTACTCTCTGTGTGTTGTGATCATACCCAGTCAGCCATTACTACCTGGAATGTTTGTGGGTTTTGGGGATCTGAACTCTGGTCCTCATAGTTAGATGGCAAGTGATCTGACCACTGATCTACCTCTCCAGTCCTCACTTTCACATACTTTTGCAAGTGTTTCAGTCTTTATGATTAATATCTGTGGCATACCTTTTCAGTAGCCTGGTTGATGAACAAACCAGCTTCCAGTTTCTGCTAAATTCAAAAAGCTTCCAGGAAATGTCTCAGGCTTTCTTCATCTCTCTCTCTGGCCCTCATTACTGTTCCTTGTGAGTCATGGGTACTCAACATGTGTGTATTGAGCCAAACAGAACACGATCCATTTCCCTCAATCTGTTATTTCTAACTCTGTAGACTGTTAAGTAAAAAAGGAAAAATGAATGTTTCAATGAATTGTTTTTCTTTAGCATATTAAATATATCTTTCTCATTCCTGTTCCCTTTCTTCTTCTGTTATTCAGAGTTCTTATATTTCTGGGGCTTGACAAACAGTGTATGTTATGAAAGAGAAGAAAATGTCATAATTACCAATGCTTTAATTACCCTAAATTTTTTTAAACCAGGAGAGTTTATATGTGATTCCCTTAACCGACTCCTAAGTAGTAGATACAGAACTTTACTGTTTTAGGTAGCTTTTCCTTAAGGAGCTAGAATTGACCACACATGGATTTTTCTCTGCTCTCTTGAGAAGGAAGTTGCTCCCCCTATTTTCAGAAATGAAGCCAGTCAACCTCCAAAGGGAACAAGCTATCATGCCATCAGACCCGCAGTACTGCTAATTGCGCACAATCATCAAGGTTCACTTTTTCTAGACGAAAGTCCAAGGGTAGCAGTGTTCCAGGTGATACTGTGGCCTCTGTCCAGTGCCTACATTCAAAGGACCTGGAATCTACATGGTACATCATAAGCACTGTACATTTGCTAGCTCCTTGGGGCTGTGTTGCGAATGCTGGTTTTGTTCTTACTCTTTTATAAAGACAATATCTGCATATTTTTTCTACCAACTACCATAATTTTATTTCCCATAATTTTAGTGTTTAGGTACTCTTAATTTTTCCTTGAATTAATTTTGATTTTCTTTTTATTATCGTCACCTCTGATGTTCATGAATTCCACCTCATTTCTTGATCAAGCTTATAAGAGGTTTTGAAAACACCAGTGTTTAGACATTTGTTTGTTTTGTGTCTTTGGCTTAATTCATTTCTGTTCTTATGCTTATTGTTTTTTTTTTACAGTTTTCTTTGAAACTTACTTTTAATTTTTAAACATCTTCAGTTTCTAGTATGATTGTATCTCTGACTTTGAGTTATATCTTTAATTTCTAAATACATGGAAGTTCTCTGATGACCTCTGCATATTCATAGATGTCAGTGTGAACTGCAGAATCATCATTCATTGAAGTGTTTTGAAATTTGCTTTTACAGCAACTTTATTTTTCATTTATGCACTAAAATTTACGTATGTGCACATCATCTAGTCTCTTTTAGGGTTGACCTAGAGTTTCAAAGGCCCAATTCAGTAATCTTAGCAAAATGAGAGATGTGCATCCATTACCATGTTTGAAGTTTAGAACATTTCCATCACTTGAAAAGCTGACACCTGCCCATTTGCAGCTCATCTCAGCTCCAAGGCCCAGTCAGTCATAGGGAGCCACTGGACGGCTGAGCAGTGGTTTTGCTCTGTAAATTTGCCTCTGATGTTTCATATTTGATATCCACACACGGATGTACATAAATAAATGTATGTTTAAATCTAGGTTGTCTACGTGAGGAAACAGACACCATTTGCCTTACTTTTCTGTTTTTTTTTTTTTTCACTTGACAGTGATTCCCAGTTCAGTCTGTTTTCCTGCAAACATGATATCATTTGTTCTATGGCTCAGGGTGTCTCCATGAGGATATGTATGTGGCTGTAAATTTTCTCCGGTCCCACCTGGGCTCATGATCCCTCAGCCACTTATAAAATAATCATTCAGAGGCTTAATATTAATTGCCAATTGTATTGGCAATTAATAAGGCTTCTTGCCAGCTAGCTCTTATAACTTAACTCATTTCTATTAATCTATAAGTTGCCACGTGGCTGTTGCATTACCAGTCTACTGGCATCTTGCTGCTCCTTTGGTGGCGGCTGGTGTCTCCCCTCCTCTCCTTTCTTCTCTCCATCTATCTGCTTGGATGTCCTGCTTGCCTCTAAGCTGCCATGCTATAGGCCAATGTACTTTTATTTGTTAACCAATCAGAGCAACACATATTCACAGCAATCAGAAAGACATCCCACAGCACATGTATCATATTGTCTTCATGCATTCATTTGTTGGTGGGCATTTAGCCAGGATTCATTACCTGGATTTGTGAGTAGAATGGCAATAAACAGGATATACAAGTCAGCTGAGTTACATAGATTTATGCTCCTGGCTTTCTTTATGTAGCCTTATTTTGTCATTGTTAGTGGTTTAGTTTTATTTTGTTTGGTCATATGCTGAAACCTGGGGCTGTACTAGGTTTAATGTTTTGGTGCTTATGACCCATTTTGTGACTTGTACTCCTTTCATTGTTAAATAGTATTCCATTGGGGTCTATATTTAAGTTTTGTCCTTATTTAGTTTTCTGTATATTTTATGTATACACTTCAGAATTCATTGAGCTGCCTAATTTAAAACTTTAAAGTAATTCTCTCCAACTTTCATCTTGATAACTGCCAACTTTCACTATCTCTTCAGAATTCCAGGAACGCAGAAGAGGCATACATTAGATTTTTTATTTTAATCCTCATTTTCTTTGATTTTACATTATCTACATTCTGGGCAGTTCTCCTGTTCTTCATACTCTAATTTACTACCTAAACTATCCTGTGAATTTTTACACACACACACACACACACACACACACACACACACACACACACACACACACAAACACACAATTCACACACTCACTCATATATACATTTCCTTCCTAAAACTGCTGATCTCATTTCCCCCATTCAGACGCTGCTTCTATAAACACAGAAGCCACACTTCCTGTAGTTTTGCTGTCAGATGACTGCAATATCTGCAATCTCTGTGGATTAAATGTGCTGCTGTTGATAACGACTGCCTACAGCCTCACTTCCTTGTATGATATAGTTTTTGGCTTTGAAGTCTTGATCCTTAATTTCATTAATTCTGATTCTGTGTGTGTTTCTTCAGAATATGTTGTTTCTTGCCAAGTTTCCCTGAGGAAGTGAGCCCAGAAACTTAAGAGCATGATGGTGCCACTAGTAACGACTCCTTCCTTTCTCATATTTCTTCATGTATCTTTAGGTTATGCAAACCATGAAAGTTAGTGCTGTATCCATTTCTTTTGCTCATTTTAAAGCTTAGTTCATGTTTCCATTTCATAATGTTCTTAGATACTAGGAAGACTTTTAAATTAATCTTCAAGATTTTTAAAGAAAACCAGCAGGATCTGAGGTGTCGAGTGTAATATTAAGTGCCCTAAATAAACAATTTGGAACCGTAAAAGTTCTACGTGATAATGAACTAATGCGGCAAGTCCTTGTGTCTATGTGTCTGGGACTCTTGTTCCTTCTCTGTGTTATGTAAAGATGCCATCAGGAAGTCATCTTTTGCAGAGGAGGTTTAGTTGCTAGATGTTATGCAACCCACAAACTAATTAAATCCTTATTCTCTTTGTCCTTTCTTTTCTTTCCAAAATGCATAAATCATCCACATACAGTATATGCATATTTTAAAGTCCTCAGAGTGGAAACATTTCAAGACTGAGTAGTTTCTCCTTCTACCCACTTGCTCATGCATCAACAGCCACATTTTATGTCTGAATCATAGTTTTTGAATCATATGTCTGAAACATAGATTCATTTTATGAATCATAGTTCATTGTTACATGAAGCAAATGGACTTCATCAGGCTGAGTTAGAGGCATGCTTCCTATTCTTCACTTATAAGAGAAGCATCTCTTAGTACTTTTCTAACATATTCTAGGGTTTCTTTTGATGATGCTGTGAGGAGCTTTCATTATGTTGTGGTTATTGACAGTCAACTACACTGAGAGTGAAGGCATTTGGCTTCCATTGTTAAATCTGTGACCTTAAAACAATGGACCTGATTTTCCTTCTTAAAACCTCTCTTCCAAGTAAATTATTTTCATGAATATAGAGATCTTTACTTTCCTGTGTGGAAAAAACCTCCTGACCCAATGTAGGTGTTTATCAAAACTTTTTTAATGTGAATAAATTTACATGCCAATTTTGATTCAGGCTGTTTTTTTATCTGATGCCACAACTTTGGAAACTTCACTCCAAATTCTATAGTCTCGGGGAATACATTTTGAAATTCAAACAGCTAGCCTTAATATTTATAGTAGTGGGTAGTGAGGTGTATTGAAATTAAAGGTAGTCTCAGTCCACATTGTTTTCTTCTAGACCAAAAGCACATGTAAGAGCATATGCCTGATATTTTAAAAGGGGTACATTTTTCAGATTTTATAGCTGTCCATTATATTTAATTTGGGGCCTGAGCCTTTAAGTCCAGCATAAATGTTTCTTTGAACATGCCACATTGCTCTATATAACACTTACTGATGAAAAATGATTGAGCATTCTTTCTTCTACCAGATGGGTCCTGGGAAGTGAACTCAGGTCATCAGGCTTCACAGTAAGAACCTTTACTCACTGGGTCATCTTGCTGTCCCCCCAAGATTTTTCATTTTTTATTTATTTAGCCATGCAGCTACCATTTTCTGGAGGGTATAGGAAGGATAAGTTGTTAATTACTGGTGACTTTGATTCCTCAGAGTTTAAAATGTCTTTGTCTTTGAAAGCCAAACCATCTTATATTGGAGATAATCACCAGGATTGATATTAGGCACCAACTCTCAATCTAAAGTCTGACAACACCTAAGTTGTCTGTCTGAATTCTGATGCTGGGTTCTGGGATGTTGTTCTCTGATAATCTTTTTGCATACTGTAGAGATGTGTTTCTGTCTAAGGCGCCTTCTGATTGGTTTAATAAAAAGCTGAATGGCCAATAGCTATGCAGGAGAGGATAGGTGGGACTTCCAGGCAGAAAGAGGAACTGAGAAGAGGAATCTAGGCATGCAGATTTCACCAGCAGACTTGGAGCAACTCAGATGTGCCATACTGAGGAAGGTAAAGAGCCATGCGTCAGATTATAGACTAAAAATATGGGTTAATTAAAGTATAAGAGTTAATTGGAAAGAAGCCTAAGCTAAGGACCAAGCTTTCATAATTAACAAGTCTACATGCCATAATTTGCAGGGTGGTAGTGCAAAAAAAGCCCAATGAGAAAGCTTGCACCCAACATCCAGCCACATAAATCCACATAGGGCC